GGTTCGTAAATCTTTTCTACGTTGATTTTAAACTTAAATTTCTATTAACCGAATTAACTGAATTTTTTCATTCAACTATTAATAAATTCGATTTTTTAAAAGACTAACTTAATGGGTTTTGGTGTTATTCAAGAACAATTAGGTTTTAATTCTTAACGAGTTTGAGCTTAAAATATATATTTAGTATATATAATATATTAAATATTTAATAATTTTGATTAATTCGGTTAATTAAACAATTCAAATCAATCTAACTGTTAATCAAATATAAAAAAGAATTAACCATTAACCGACCGGACTAATTCGATGACCGATCAGATTAACTAAACTATTTTGATTCAGTCGATTAATTTGATTAAAACCGATAAGTGAACGACCCTAGACTGCAAAATGTAGTACGATATTAAAATTCCACATCATTAATGAAAAAAAAATCTGAATTTGAGAATTATATTGAAAGAAACTGTTAAGTTAAAGGACAAAAACATAATTTATCCTATTGTTCTATAGTCATAGTCTCATAGACGCATGGGCAAGCTGAGATGAGAATCACGGACTCCTCGCCCCTTTATCAAATCCGCTTAATTAAGAAAAGCTCCAAATTTCTTTCAAATTTCCGTTCATACGCCCACATCTCTGTGTCTCTTTCCTTCCTTTGTTTTTTTTTTCCCTCCCTCCAGAGAGAAACTGGTCGGTCAAATGCTCTCTTGAACACTAAAAGAGAAGCTCCCATTTCCCCAAATCTTTCCTTCCTTTTCCTCTCAAAGAAAGAAAAAGAAAAGTTTGGGTTATGGACGGCGGTGCTTCCTACAACCCACGTACTGTTGAAGAAGTCTTTCGAGATTTAATGGGTCGTCGAGCTGCCATGATTAAAGCTCTCACTACCGGTATTGTTCAGCACCCTTCTTTTCATTTTTTTTTTTGAAATTTCCACTCTTTTGTCTTACTCCTTTGTCATCTTCTTAACAACCCTTTTTTGTTTTTCATCTCATAAAGTTTGTTTATCTACTTTTCTGGGTTTGCTGTTGCTTGCAGATGTGGAGGAGTTTTACAAGCAGTGCGATCCAGGTACTGGGTTTTTCTTTTTTGTGGAGAATTTCTTGTTCCCAGCTTCGTTTTGTTGAAATGATTTATCTGGAGAATTGAAGTATGATTTTTTTTTCAATGTATTTTCTTTGTTTTAAATTCAACTGAAGAATCCAGACTTTAATATAAAATGAAGTGAAATCTGTAGTGCATGCAATGATGTTAACGATTCTAGCTTTTATTGTCGTTTAATTCTTATGCCATGAAGACAAAATTATTAGTTTTTGAACAGTCATTTATGCTTAGTTTGAACTTTCCTTTCTGAATATAAGATTGGATTGCTTTGGACTGAGAGGGATCTATTTTACTACATTTCTTTTTCAGATGAGCTGGATTTGATTATTTCATCAGTTGTTATTTCTCAGGAGTTCTTTTCACAAATGTGGATTCCTTTTATAAACTACTATTCGATTTTCAAAAGTCGAAGCTGAAAAAAATTCTTTATAGAGTGTTTTCATTATTTGTGCTCATTATTAGTTGCTTATTGGCTTGTTTTGGATTAAAATGTATGTTCATCATATGATTGCTTAACTGGTGTTTAACCTCGTTCGGTTCCAGATGCACGAAACGGAAACGAGTTAATTAACATTTTGGATTTTGGTTACAGAGAAGGAGAATCTTTGCCTTTATGGATATCCCAGTGAGCAGTGGGAGGTGAATTTACCAACTGAAGAGGTGCCTCCGGAGCTTCCGGAGCCTGCGCTGGGTATTAACTTTGCTAGAGACGGGATGCAAGGAAAGGACTGGTTGTCTTTGGTTGCCGTACACAGTGACGCATGGTTACTTGCTGTGGCTTTCTATTTTGGTGCTAGGCTCGGATTCGATAAAGCTGATAGGTAGTTTCTCCCCGCCCCTAGTGCCGTATCCTGTTTTGGATTTAAATACCGTTATAGATGTAAACAATCTAAGTTACTCATAGGCATGCAACGGTCCATCCAAATTGATTCGAGTATCTTGAGGTTTTGGTGTTTTGTTAATCATTAGTATTTTATTATCTCTCTCTCTCTCTCTCTTTCTCTGTAAACGGATCTTCATTTTAAGGTAACTTTTAGTACATTATCTAAACCTGTTTAACTTGGCTAGAATTCGCTATTTGGTTCGGAAAGCCCCATTAACTAATTTTGTTAAGCACCTATACATAAGGCTTCCTTGAAAATTTATTGCAGTTGGTAGTTTAAAATCTTTGCAAAAATGCTAAAGCTAGGTGTTCTAGATCCAATGTACGACCGGCATGATCGTTAAATATAGGCCTCAGCATGAAGTGCTTCTAGTGTCCGTGTACACGGTATGTAGTTATGTACTAGGCACTGTGTGCATGTTCATCTGGGACACTGTGTATAGGATTTGCATTTGGTTGTAACAAGTATGTCATACTTTGTGCTACACTTTTTCTGCAATAATACCAGTCGATTTGATGCAGGAAGCACCTTTTCAATATGATAAATGATCTTCCGACGATATTCGAAGTTGTGAAAGGAGTAGCTAAGAAACAGAAAAAGGAAAAATCGGCGGTTTCAAATCACAGCAGCAACAAATCTAAATCAAACTCTAAGGTATGGAAAGAAAATTTCTTGCTTAGCTTTTCAGTTAACTGTTAATCTGTAAAAAATTTAGGGTTAAGGTTGTCGAGGTCTGAGCGAAAACATATCGAGTAAATTTTATCATTAGTGGCTGGCTTTTTCATCCCTATCAAAATCCCATTTAGGCACTAGAACTCAATTTAGTTATACCGACTCTAGTCACCTTGATGGATTTTCTTCAATAGTTTCGCAATGTTCATTCGCCACTTGCCGATAGCAGACCCGAAAGGGAGAAATAACCTTACGATATCAAGGGAAGTGGACCTTATAAATCAGATTTCTTTCCTCTCTTTTTTGTTTGATAATACGCAGCGAGGATCCGAATCTCAACCCAAGTATTCGAAGGCGGTGGCGGCAAAGGATGAGGTTGAAGACGGTATCGAAGAGGAAGACGACGAGGAGCACGGAGAGACATTATGTGGGGCCTGTGGAGAGAGTTACGCAGCTGATGAATTCTGGATTTGCTGCGACATCTGCGAGAAATGGTTCCATGGGAAGTGCGTTAAGATTACGCCGGCAAGGGCAGAGCATATTAAGCAGTACAAATGCCCATCGTGCAGCAACAAGAGAGCACGACCTTGACGACGGTCGTGCTCGGTGGTTCTTTTTATGTGAATTTGGGTTGAGAATTCGGATGTCGTGGACTTTCTAACTGTCTAGTAGGTGATGTAGTAGTCAGTTGTCAATGTGTCGCGTTTAATGTAGGAGACCTGGGTTTACTTGGAATGTATGGAGGTCGTGAACTTGCTGTTTAATTTGATTATAAAATTGGCTATTTACAACCCTTTCTTTCTTCAATATGATTGTATCTTGGGTAAAGTACACAAATGGTCCATAGACTATATGATATTACTTTATTAAGTCATTCGATTTTTAAAAGTTATAAAATTATCCACGGTCTATAGAGTGTTGTTTTGTTAAGTCCCTCAACTATTAAAAGTTACAAAATGGTCAACTGACTATTCATTATGTTCTAAACTCGTCCTTTTATGTTAAAAAATTGATGGTACTTTGAGCTAAAAGTTAATTTGTTGATTGCGATATGATAAAATCTAATAACAGAATCTCAAACGACTATCATATTTCAGTCATCATGTTAATATCCAGCATAGACAACAGTCAATTTTTTATCGAAAAAGTACGAGTTTGAAACATAATGAATAACCATGTGATCATTTTGTAACTTTTAATAATAGAGAGATTTAATAAAATAATATCTTATAGTCGGAGACCATTTATGTATTTTACCTTTGAATCTTTTACTATGCCAAACTTTGACATTTAACCCCTATACCGTAGAAAGTACCAAATTCTTAATAACTCCCATTTTGTTCATTTTATTTTTCAAGTGCAATGTTCGTTTATTTAACCCATTAGTTGTAACTAATTAAGTTCTAAATTTATTATTAATTTAATAAGATTAATTAGATTGTCACGTGATCTTTACTCATGTGATTGATTATACCACTGTCTTAAAATCAACAACTAAATTTGTTAAATTAAAGTAATGAGGATTAAAACCAAAATTATACCAAATAATAATATATATGTTTTTCTCGAATGTGACGCCTCATCCATCATGAAAGTCATCCTATCAAATGATTACGAGTTATCTTTAAACATATATTATATTATATTTATCCCGGATTAATAAAATAATTTTTTTAAATTCTTTTATATTTTATTTTTTATATACTTTTTATCAATAATCTGTTTTTGCTTGTTTTGAATATTTTTTATTAAATTAAGGTGATTATAAAGTAGTATCTGTTTTAATTTGTCTCAATTATTTGACATCAAACGTTCAATCATCCTATTGCAGTCACTGGTGCTCGAACTCATGACCTCTGAAACGATTCCTTTAACCAGTGAGATAAATTAATTCGTGCGATTGTTTTGAAATTTAAAAAAGTTAATTTCCCTCTCAAATTTTATAAATTCACTTATTCTAATATAAAATTTTACCTACATTCTCTAGGTGTGTGTTTGTTGTTCATGCTTATATGGTCCATTCATGGTGTTAATATGGTGGCAGATTTTGGGTGGCCCATAGAAAATCCAACGTTATCAGCCCCTGGTTTTCAATCCCTATGATTAATATATGTTGGTTTCAAGTTAATCCAACGACTGATAATAGTAGATCACGATCCGGGTCGTACATTTAATTTTGGTGGTGAATCTCCGACGAGTATTTTACGCATATACAATATCTCGAACCTAAGAGATTGCTTAAGCGGTATCAAGTTGGTTACTACTTGAACCAGCTCGTTAATTTTATGAACTATATTTAGATTGAGAACGTGAAAGATACATTATTACATAGTGATCCAGACGAAAAAAAGAAAGAACAAACTGCTAGATATACTTTTTACATTAACATGCAGGTCATCATTAACAAGCCAAAGGAAGAAAAAAATTTACAGTTAGTAATCCCTTACATAGCAAACTGGTTAAAACCCTCGGCCTCTGTTTTTCATGTTGTCATGGGCTCTCGGGTCTTAGTGATAGCCGCTTCAAGAACTCGTACGTCGTGATCATCGTCGTGGCGGACATAGCCATCGATGCCCATCGTGGTCCCAATCCCCTGTAACAAGCAACCAACCCTCCTTCTTGCACGAGATTCCGCACCGTTTGCGGCACGCTCGACGGTTTTCTTACCCCATTCTCTTCACTGTCCAGCACCTGTAACCTGGTCTTGATGGTGTCGAGTGGCATGGTGATCAAGGCCGAAATGCCACTAGCCATGGCAGCACTTAGTCCTTGGACAGCCACCAAGGCCTTCGAATCAGGCCTAAAACCACTCTCGCCTTTCTTATACACCGAGCAACCGATACCACTCCAAATGAGCTTGTGTGCAACGGAGTAAGACGCCCACCAAACGGCGTTCGACGGGGCGTACGTCAAGATCGAGATCCCGAATCCCCTGTATAGTCCTTTAGGACCATCTGCATACACAATTTTCCTAAACGCATCAAGACCATTCCTGTATCTACAAAAACTCACATTGGGGTTCACGTTTTTGACATCATTGTACCCTTGAACCATAAGCCTCTGGCTCACAACGTCGATCGGGGTCCAAACCAGTTGAGCAGCCATGGCTGAACTCAAACCAGCAGCTGCATTAGCTATAGCAGTCGCTGAAGTATCTGAAAACCCTAAACTAACAGTTGCAGTGCCAACACTGCTCTTGGTAACCTCGAGGGCTCCCATGTAGAGTGCTCTAGCTGGGATTGTGCCCATCAAAGAGGTACCAAAACCCCTATAGAACCCCCTAAATCCTTCATATTTCATGATGGAGAAACACATTTTAAAGCAAGAAACTTGTGCAGATGAGACTTGTAGCCTAGTTTTCAACACCACTACAGGGTAAAGAGCAGCTGATACACCTGAAAACAAAGCGGCACCAAGGAAAAAGAACTTGGATTTATTAAGCATATGCCACTCTATATCTCCCGGTATGTGAATCTCTGACCCCGAATCATCCTCAGCTGCACTTAAGCTCATTTTCAGCACCTTTTTGTAATCTGTTTAGCTCAAGTAAGTAAAATCTGATTCCTTTTTTTATTACCCTTTCACCAAAATTAATCGCAAATCAACTCAGCTCAACTACTTCTAGCATTTGGACAAAAAAGTTTGGAACATTAAGCAGATAGTAAAAGGAAAAAACAATGACTTTCTAGCTTCTTTTAGCTGTAAAACCAGAAAACCAAAAAGGGTTTCCGTTGGTTCTTCTTCCTTTTCCTTTTGCGCAGCCAAATTTGAGATCGAAAATGGATCAGGAGAAATAAGTCAAGCATTTAACCCTATACAAAAACCCCAGATTTTATATTTGATTCTTACCAGAAAAAGACCATGTCTTTGCAACATCTTCAAGGCTTCATCTTTATTATCAATAGGGCAACTGGGAAATAACCAGAACAGGCCTTCACCTCAAAGAAACTAAGAGAAGGTAAGATACAAAAGGGAAATGGATAGCGTTAATAAGAAGGATATGCAAAAGAGAGAGGTGGGAGAGAGTGAAAGAGGAAAGCTTTAACGGTAGCAGAGGAGAGAAAAACAACAAGGGTTATGGAATTTAGCAAGGGTTTCTGCGGATCGAGGAACGTGGACACGTGTCGGTGTTCATCTGGGGAGGGAGAGCTTTATTAGCCTACTTTTAGGCTCACTTGGTTCAAGCAGCTCGGCTCAACTCACCGAATTCCATAAACAGAATCACACCTTAATCTAGTCGGTGATTGGTTTGTTGTTCATTACCATCTCGGTTACATACGATTCTTCCTAGTACGATTAAAGGCTCTTAACGGCGATTTGCTATGTAATATAGCTTGATTTTCTGCCCAACAATATGATACACAAGGTTGATTCAAGTCGAATTTTTGATCCACCTAAATTTGATTTGAAAATTTACCTTTTAATCCGACTTGGATCTAAGAAGATTTTATTCTATCAAACTCGAAATTAATATGAGTTTTTAGGTTAAAATTCGTATCCGATTCGACTTAATATAAATAATTTATTTTTATTAAATTCAGAACCCTGTGCCTCTGGAGAAACAAGACAGAAGTGATGTCAAAAAGGATGTCTTTCAATTATCTTCACACCATTTTCATCAAGCTTTGATTTAGACATTTCATGTTTTTTTGGGTACAATCGATAAAATTTGTCCACTTGTTCTTTAAAATATATATAAAAAAAGTAGTGTCACAATGACCTAATATTTAACCTTGTGAGCGTGGAAATTGCCAACTGGTGTAATATCATAGATAATCTCGCATGTTTAATGGTCAACTTAAGCTTCTTCTATATACGGGTAAATTACGTGATTAGTATTTAAATTATTAATTTTGATTCGTTTTAGACTTTCGGTAGGAATGTTTAGTATTCAGTTAAAATCGAGTTAATCGACCGAACCAAAAATTTCAGTCGGTTAATTTTGGGTTAACGATTAATGGTTTTTCTTTCAAATTTTGAATTCAATTAATTTGATTTGAAATCGGTTAATTAACCTAATTAATCGAATTAACCGAAATTATTAAATATTTAATACATTATATATATATATATATATATATATATATATTTAATACAATATATATATTATTTAGCTTTAGGGGTGTTTAAACTCGGTTTTAACCGAATTAACCGATCGAATTAATCAAATAAACAAAAAATATTAAATATTTAACATATAATATATTATTTATAAATTTCGGTTAATGTCGTTAACCGATCAATTAACCGAACTTAGTTTGGTCCGGCTAATTTTTTTTATAGAAAATTTCAGTTCGGTTAACAGTTAATGAAATTTGGGTAATTCGGTTTGGTCTGTTCATCGAATTACCCGTTTGAACACTCCTACCAGTTTCAGCATTTAAACTTTTAGTTTTTCAAAATCATACTTGAAGTTTAGTTTTCGTTTCATTTTAGTACCCTGCCATTAAAAGTTATAATTTTCGTTTCGTTTTGGTATATCCGTTCAAAATTTAATTCTAAGTTTTGAAAATTTGAAATTTTAGGAACTAAAATAGACCAAAACTGATAATTTATGTACTAAACACGTTAAGTTTTTAATGACAGTGTACAAAAATGAAATGAAAACTAAACATGAGGTATGATTTTGAAAAAATTACAAATTTAGGTACTAAAATAGACTAAAATTAATAATTTAGATATTAAATACCAATCTACCCTTTATATAATTATAAACCCATTCCACGGTTTTGTAGACATCACAATTCCCTTTAAAATTCTTATATATTTTAGATATTTTCATTAAACTTTTTTTTTGAAATTTTGTTTTCGTTATTTTAAAATTTTATAAATTCGTCAATTTAATATAAAATTATACGTTCGTCTCTAGAGACAGAGGACTTCGATAACGGCATATAGAAACCATAGCTATTATAATCGGTACCGACGATGATGAGCATGATGTTGTTGGTGATTACAGGTTGCCTTTTCCGGTCAATGTTGTTCATGTGGATTCTAATTATGATGGTTGCTAAGGGTAAAGATATTGAGATTTTTTAAGGATAAACTACACTGGTAGTCACTGAATTTTTAAGGTGCTTTTTATTTTGGTCATCTAACTTTTAAAAACTATATTACAATCATTAAACTTTTATTTCTCTTTCATAAAAAATGCTGGCTTTAGTCTTATTCCCAAAAAATATCATAAGATTCAAAATGTACAGAACAATCACAAGTCAATCCCAACAGATGAAATGGTTTGTTTGGTTAAAGTATTAACATAATTTGATTTCAAGTTGATCATACGGTTAATAGTGATGAACTAGAAACATTTAGCGTTTTAGTTTCAATCCTGACAATCTTAAATCGAATGAAAGAAAGAAAGAAGAAAAAAAGAGAAAAATTGGGTTATGTTTTCGATTGAAGGAAATACTGAATGGTAACATAAACAATAATGAAATGAGACAATAATATAATAGAAACTAAAATTTTAAACTTTCTTATACATAATCGTTACCGTAGTATCAACTTTAAACCAAAATATGTTAATCTTTTTACCAGATGAAGCCGTTGTATTCATCAAACAATTGGGCTGTCAATTTGGAAAGAAAAAAAAATTAGAGAAGGCTTTAGAAAATCAGAGGCTTTTTTAGAAGTTACATTAATATTTCTTAACGACAACCAACACAATAATCATAATGAAAGTGAATTAACACTTTAGTGGTTGTAATGTAATTTTTAAACATCCAAAGACCAAAGTGAAAAGTCCTTAAAAGTTTAATGAATATTGGTGCAATTTACCCTTTCTATAAACATATATATATTTATTTTATTGGTTGATTAATCTAAATTTGAACAAATATATGTTATTCAACTAGAATTTCATAAGCTTAATTCTATTTTTTAAAATGAAATTTAAATTATAAGATAATACTTATTAACTCGGTTAATTTAAATTTTTTATTGAATTTAATTCAACTCGATCTAATACTCATTTTAAATTAAACTTAACACATAGTTAAAAGTTTGAGAAAATCACCCAAATTAAGCAACTGTTAAAAGATTACCAATCCAATATAGGGTGCAAGTAGGGATGGTAATTTAACTCAAATTTGATTGGTTTCAACTCAACCTCATCTGATAGGATCATATTTAAAAAAATCGGATTCAAGTCAGATTAAATCGAGTCGAGTTCGGGTGGAGGGTAAAAACTTTAACTAAACTTGATTAGGGGATAATAATGTAATTAACTAGGGTGACCACATCTTAATAAAATAAAAACGAAAGTGACAATATCTTATATTTTTTTACAAGTGTTAGATTTTTGTGAATTTGATAAATATTTTGACAAAATTAAATTTGTAAACGATAAATATTTAGATAAATATGTTGAAGTGACCAGCTTTTTCGAGGAATTTTGGTGATGTTTATTGGAGCATAAGACACAAAAACTAATGCGGGTGTCGTTGGCGAAGTTTGGGAAGATGAAAAAGACAAGCAAAAGAACTAACACAAGACGACATCATATCTTTAGGGCGTCTTCCAAAAACGTCAAATATTACAGACGACATTCGATTGATACTGTAACATTCATCGTATTTAAAAATAATAATTTCTCTAACACTCAATATTATCAAATTCATTTTCCCATAAAATTTACCAGTATGCATTCAAATACATTTTATATTCAGATATTAAACTTAAAATATTTGGACCAGAAAAAATAATCAAACAAATACTGACATTAACGACCTATTTAGTGTTTTGGCCATCAATTAATGATCTATGGAATTTTCTTCTGGTATTCTTGTATGGCCAAGTTTATCTGATAATCTTCTTGGTGTAAATAGGAGAGAGAGCAAGCATCAAAACCCAGACCAAAGCAACACATAGCTTTCAATGGCAACTAAATTTTCTCATCAGCTTTTTCGAGCAATCCTTGTGTTCTTGGTGCTGCATCCTTTTGGAGCAAATTCTGAAAATAGGGTTCTTGAATCCCTTCAAAATGATCTTAAACATGCCCAGAAAGGAGATGTGGTGAATGGAGTTCATCAAGTGAAGAAATTCCTCAGAACTTTTGGGTATTATCCTGGTGAGATCAATCTGCTCGATGATCGGTTTGATGATGCTTTGGTGGCTGGTCTCAGTGTGTTTCGGGAGCTTTATCATCTGAATGTGACTGGTAGGGTTGATTCTAATACGATCGAAGCCATGAAAACTCCTCGTTGTGGTGTTCCTGATGTTAACATCAGCAAAACTTCTAATGGCGCCCATAATCATGGTGTGTTTCGCTTTGTTGCCGACTATTCCTTCTTCCTTGGGAGACCGAGATGGAGCAAGTATTCATTTTCGACTCGTGTTTATCCAGCTCAGTTGGTAGAGCACAAGGTTCTTAACCTTGAGGTCGTGGGATCGAGTCCTACGGAGGACATTTCATAATTCAGATGTCTTCTACAGAAGTTGTTCTCAACCTAGTGTTGGGGCAACATACTATCTTACCTCCCCTTACCCCATTACATATGAGAATAAGGGACATCCATTTTTTTTGTGTTTGTTTGTATATTTTTTAACGTGTTTGTGTTTCATTCATTTATCGTACGTGAATATGTTCGTTTAGCTTTTGCAAACATGTTTACTTATACGTTCGTAACATGATGGCTTTGCTTTTTCTCAAATATATTCGTTTATATTTTCAGAAAAATGATGAAATTATGCAACTGGTTTTAAAGTTCCTTAAGCTTCACAATTTGAACTCTAAAATCATTAGTCTCTACTTTCACTTATATTTAAAATGTAAAAAAATAAGGGTTAATTACTTGATTTATCATTTATGTTTGTGTTTTGTCCACTTTTCCTCACTGGTTTCAAAAAACATAATATATGGTCACTTTCGTTTTTATTTAATTAAGACATTGTCACCACGAGTTAACTGCCGTTAAATATTTTGGTATAATCACACACTTAGTCATTGTTATTTACGTATTCTCTCAATTTAGTCATACTTTTAATAAATTAAAATAAATTTAATCATCCAATTGAATAAAATATTTTTAATAATTTAAATATATATCTTACGTTAAAATATTTTGAAGTTAATATAAGAATAAAATATATTTAATAATTTAAAGTACTAATATAATATATTTAGTAAATTAAGATAAAATATATACTTTGAAATTTTAAAATAATAATAAAATATAATTTTGAGAATTTAAATTAAGTTAAAATATATTTTATTCGATTAGAGAATTAAATTTATTTCATAAGTATGATTAAATTGAGAGAATATGTAAATAATAGGAACTAAATATGTAATTATACCAAAATAACACGTCACCTAATCTGTTAACTGTTAATGTTAATTAACTCGCAGTGGTCACATCTTAATTAAATAAAATGAAAATAATCATATCTTAATTAAATAAAATGAAAGTGACCATAAATTATGTTTTTTGAAATCAATAAGGAAAAGTGGACAAAACACAAACATAAGCGATCAATCATGTAATTAACCCAAAAAATAAAAGGAAAGGGAGAATCAAATAAACGAGCTGAGTTCATTCGTGAACGTAAACGAACCGAAAACATCTTTGTTCATGTTCATTCATTTATTAAGTAAACATAAAAATTGTGTTCATACTCGTTTACTTAATTTAATGAATATACATAAACGAAAATTATACAAACGGATCGAAAGTTGTGTTCATTTACACCGTTAATGTTAACCTCCGTAAAACTTCTAATGGGGCAGGTACCAACTCACCTACGGTTTCCTGACTGATTCAGTCCCATCATTGCTCGAGCGTTCCAAAGATGGGCAAGTGTTTCTCCTTTCAGGTTTCGAGAGGTGGCGCAAGGAACTTGACCCAATATCTGGATTGGGTTTTACCGACGCAGTCACGGCGACGGCGCACCGTTCGATGGCTCCGGAGGTGTTCTGGCTCATGCTTTTGCGCCACAGGATGGGAGGTTTCAGTATGATGCAGAAGAGAATTGGAGCAGGAACCCTACAAGATCGCAGGTGGTCTTGGAATCAGTGGCCGTGCACGAAATAGGCCACGTCCTCGGCCTCGGTCACAGCCAGGACGGGAATGCGATCATGTTCCCGTCGTTTCAAGTCGGAAATACCAAAAAGAACCTCGGCCAAGACGACATTAATGGCTTGCATGCTTTGTATGGCTACTAGCAAGGCCTTGTTCATATACTACTTTTCATGACTTGAGAAGCTTGTGTATATAATATTAAATAAGTGATTAACACAGTTGAATAAGAAGTTACGTTAAGCCTTTATTTCCCATGCACTATATTGTTACAGAACCATATATATATATATATATATATTTATATAATTACTTAGAAGTGGTACTACCAGGCAGGGATGGACCGGGTGGGACGTGTAAGGGCGGTCGCCCCTGAAAATTTCAACGTCATGTATATATACACCGTACTTCATCAATAAACAAACAGATGACATGAAAAGAGAAAGGATTACCCGAAATCGAATCGGATTATGAGATGGAATGATTTGATACAAGAAAGTTTGATGATGAAGTTAATGTTGAATCAGTTGGTTTAAAACTTGGAAAGTTGAATAAGTTTTACAGTGACAATGGAAGTTTCATGTGAAGTTCTGGGGGCAGGGATGGTCAAGGTCAATGTGTCTTTTATTAGGTAAAATTAGTGGTGGACTAAGACAGCTACAGTGTGTCCCCTTATTATGAAGGTGGACTTGTCTTCATTTAAACTTCATTAGCTGCTTTAATATAGTCATGAAGAAGCATGTTACAGTCCTCCCAGAGACGGAACTTATCGGCGAACACGTTTCGAAACTCGTAAAGACGTTCCTAAACGACATATAGTCATGCTTGAGAGCATGTAGCACACTATCAATATGTATGTATGTATATATAACCATCTTTAAAGAATGTTTTGGTCAGCTTATTGTTCATAGTTGGGGGTCTTAATCACTTTTGACTTGTCTTCATTGTTGTGAAAGGGTTGGTCTAAGCACGAGACTGAACAAATCAAAAAGCTAACTTCACACCAAAGCAAGCAAAATTACAAGAAGTCATCGTTTTCCTTTTAGCTTCTTAATAGTGAGCAGCTAGATGGGACCCAAAGATCAAATCACTTAGGCATGTTATTTCAACATCAACCATTGAAGCTTCCTGTAAATGTAATAGGAAGGTCATGGCGAAACCACATTGCAGATACTCGAGCAGAATATACTATATGTATCGCTCTATACTGCTACCATCAGACATCAGTCTTTTAACTTTACCTAAATGTCTAACAACGACGATTTTAAGCAGCTGGACTCGCCGGAAAGCACCGATCAGTCCAATTTCGAGTTCCCTGACGAGTGGACTTTCGACGGTTGGCTGGAGGATTTTCCTGAAGCCATCATCTCAGGGCCAATTCAGTTTCCTTTTAATGACTCTGCTGGCACTAGCAGCCTCCTTCGAGTACCTGGCAATGAAGTTCATGAAACTGTGAGCGAGAGGAAGGAAGTCAAAGAAAGATATGCATTCAAGACCAAGTCCGAGGTTGAGATACTGGATGATGGATACCGGTGGAGGAAATACGGGAAGAAAATGGTGAAGAACAGCCCGAATCCGAGGTATTTTAGCCAATTCTTGAATGGTTTGAATCATCCTTTAAACTCTCGGTTGTATCCATTTCTTATTGTTTGATTGATAGGAACTACTATAGATGCTCTGTCGAAGGATGCCCCGTGAAGAAAAGGGTCGAAAGAGATAAAGACGATCCGAGTTACGTAATCACAACTTACGACGGGATTCATAATCACCGAAGTGCTTCTTGAATCAGTCGACAAGTCACCGTTACAATCTCAGAGCCATCTCCTGCAGAAGGTCAACATCAATCTGCAACTATCGCATCGTCTGCATAGACTATTGAAAAGTCTTCGTGCATTTCTATCCTTGTAAATATCTGTAAGAAAATCTAAGGACCAGACTACAAGAACCCTGAGTTCCAATTATAACTTGATCCTATTTAGTGTTAGCGACACTAAGTTGAGAGAATCGTCTCGGATCTGTTCTTTGAACACTTGATGTAATATCTATTAATAATCCGAAATCGTCAATAAATTTATAGACTTCTTGGTGAGCCAAGTGATTGCAGCATTAAGAAACCATTGCAAGAGAATAAAAAGGAACACAGGAAGGCAGAGAACTTTAGCTATGTCCTTCATTTATCAAATGGAGATGAAATGATTAAATTTTGAATGAATATTCAACTGTATATTGATTCTTATTGGACTATACAATCTTTGACAACTTTAGCTGCAGAAAAGTAGGCTGATACATGCATACATAGTAAACGGTCAAAATCCGCAATCTACACCCAAATTCGACAACTTAATTTAGGAAGATGACATTAGGGTTTCGATAATGTTGACCCGAATCTGCCAATCCTTTCGAACATGCACTTATTCCATCGACGTTCGAGGTTAGACTCCACAGCACGCTCCCGGCATGCGATTTTCTCATCACAGATGGGTAGAATTTTACAATTGCCTTTGACTTTGAAAATGTTTTCTTTTTGGAGTTAGCTGTGCCACTAGCAAGCATCCAGCGTGTCCCGGACTGTTGCTGTGCTTTGCTACCCCAAAGATGCTGCTTATCAGGCTCAGTATTTAACCCTGCAAGATGAACTTCGGTGATATCGAAAAATGGAGTACCTTCTTTTTTCCCTGCAGCTTCGGATTCAGGGTTCTCTTCTCGATCTCTTTGTGGCTCTAGAGCGACATGAGCTCGCTGTACTTGAATTAAAGCCATCATTGAAGTGCCAACCGGTTCATAGTTTCGAAAGGGATCTCTAAGCAACACCTTGACGGCTAGTGTCAAGTTATTCCCCAACAACCCGTGCTTTCTCCCAGATTCTTTACCCAAGTCGACATGTTTTATCGAATTTCCACTAACTGAATCAAGGCACTTGGCTTGATAAGCCTCAAGGATCTGGATCGTATGGTCACTAATATGGTCTCCGTCATCTATAACTCCACCGTCCAGCCGTAACCACTCATCCAATGTTATAACAAGGCTCATTAATCTATTGACAACATCTCTGAAATCAAGTGACTGTGAACTAGCAGCTCCCTTGAAACTGAGCAAATTACTCGATTTTGAATCCTTACCAACAGTAAACAGCACGTCGCTGGGGGACGAAGGACCGACACTTGAGGGTGCATCCTCGTCAGACATGCCACATTGAATTCTCAAACCCTCTAATGCGAGGGCTTCAATCCTATTCATGACTGATGGAACAAGGTTTTCCATAGATACACAACCTATAAGGCCTGAGCACGTTCTGTCACGATGAGTCCAGCAAAATTGAAACCCTTCGACTTCGTTTCCCTGATCGAGTGAATCCTGTTCACATAATAATTCTTGTTTCAACTTGCCCCACCTGTCAAATAAAGATTTTGAGTTGATCAAACAGGATAAAAAGAACAGTGAAAAAAAGAAAGAAATCGAGAAACTGAAAACAAGATTAACGCATACCGCTCTAGAACTACAGTTGTAGGTGCAGCTTCCAGTGCAACTTTTTGCAATGTTTTCCCAGTAATATCATCCAAAGGCATTAAATTGTTTACCTTCATGGATAGATTCTCAATTCCGAGTGAAGCCAAGTTTCGTAATATCTCCATAACATCGATGCCCAATCTTGCGGGAAATACAGCAGCTCTAGATACTTGCATGACCAGGTACCCAACATTTTTACAGTTTATGAAATGAGAAGGATTCATAGACCGCAGGACACCTCCATCCTTTGTCAGAATGAAATGTCCCAAGCCTTCTCCTAATGGAGGTAATTCGAGTCGTTCTGGTGAAAGTTCTATCGGGCTTCCAAATCCATCGCTTTGAACACATGGAGACCTTTGAAATGCATTCTCATCTAAGCCCCACTCACGCATCAAAGCTTCAGTCTCCAAGTACTCGAGCATTTTGACCGATCTTCTGTTTGCCAGCGACGGACTTTCCTTCTCCTCCTTCCTGGGTGGACTAACTGAAGAGAAAGCAAAATCATCATAACTAACCCCATGAAAAGGTCCAGGAGTTCCATCTTCTTCATCTTCTCCCCCAGCACCAAAATCTAAGATGAAATCACCAGAAGCTAGGGCTTCGGTCTCAAATTCTCTCAACAGACGCTCCCTAGGAGATTCAAGAGTATCGTCAGAATTCAAGCTAAATGGACCATGTTCAATTTCCAGCATCTTTAAGAAATCACTAGCCACAGTGTCAGCAATTTCATCCAAACTTCGTGATTTCTTTGTCGATTTGCTAGCCTTATCCATAAACTTTTCATTATCGATAAACTCGTCAAAAGCAGATGAAGATTCCGATACTGATGATTCTCTAATCAACAGGTCATGAAAATCTGACTCCAGCTCCATCAAACTCATTGGTTTAGAACATACACTCTTTTCTTGCATGCATCCATCGACACCAACCTCCTTCGTGCAAACTTCAGTGCAGTAGACATTTAAAACATGTTCTGCCTCCTCATCAATGTCAGTGTCACAATCTCTTAGGATCTCCTCCACATTGATAGTTTCAATGGCCGGACCATCAATACTCTGGATCTGATTAGCAGTTTGTTCAAGCTTAGACTGATCATTCTGACACATTTCTACACCCTTTTCAATTACAGAAAACTCGATGTTTTCATACTCATCTATAAATTCATCAAACTCGGAATCGGATATCGGTGGCTCCACATGCTCGGACAATTTATCCAAGCCTGAAACCCTGTGTAAGTTCCCTTCATTAAGTTTCTGATACAAAAAACTTATTGATTTGGAAAGTTCCAGTCCTAAATTCGGCAACAATTCAGAACCGAACTTTATATCAACAGATAGAGGCGACATGTAAGACACACGGTTCACATTAATTGGGAGAGTCCCCAAATTTTGAAGCATCCCATTCCCCTCTCTTGCTCTGTGTCCCATTGCACTTGAACCCTTCTCTGTTAGATTCATAAAACTCGATGTTTTTCCGCTCGATTCAACTAAATCATCCGCGGTTACCAAGAAACTGAAACTGACATTTAGAGTAGCACCTCTAGCCTTGCCAGAAAGTTCAAAGCTAGTAGTCCATTTACCTGCACGTTTCTCCCCAACTAAATCCTCAAAAGTAAGCGGTAACAGTCTCGTGAGATCAATCCAATCCTCTCCCATATTGTGCCCTGAAGCGCCAGCGACCGATGCATAGATTACGAAAAGCTCAACCTCGTACTTTGCTGAATTACGAGGACCACTTCTACTGCCAAGCACACAGCATCGAACCATTAACGTCTCTTCGAATTCAGCAATTCCATCGACAACACTCACTGCACGAGTGGACAATACTTCATCCTTCCCCTTCCAATGCACACACAAGCTCGAGTCGTTGAAATAGGCAGGCAAGCCTTCAATAGAGTGCACATGGAGAAAGAAACAAATATCGAACCGATGTCGCCTAATATGAGCTAATGTCTTAAAGGGATTCTTCCAATTCCACAACGAGGACGATGAAGATGAATTCTGCTTTGATTTTGATTCTGAAAGATGGGTTTTTCCAGCAGACTGAGATCTAACATTGGATGTGATGATCAAAGCATTCGATGAAGGTTTCTGCAAGTAAAGTGCTTTACTTATTTCCTCGATTTCGCGCAATAACCGAGTATTATTACAATCAGAAACCCCATCGTTCATCATTTTCTCCATTTTCAGATACACTTTCACAATCTCAATTTTCTACGGATATCTTCAACAACCCCACTTGAATCATTAAAACCCCGAATTAACCAAAAGAAAATTGTTTAAAAAAAGTTACTTACTTGAAATCTGATTCCCTTGTTCTCTGTCAGATCAAACAGTAAAACCAAAGCCTAGAACGATATCAGTAGCTCAGCTTTTTGACAAAAAACAAAGTAAAAAATTAATAAGACTTTTCTTTGAGGGCGATTGGAACTTGATAAAGGAAGCTGCTAGTTTTGCTGGGATTTTCTAGGGATCGTCAAAATTTTCTTTTATACAAATATTTTTCTCTGCATTTTCTAGGAAAAATAGAGGGGACAAACAAAAAAGAAGTCGATGCTTTTTGTCTTTGTTACAAACAGGTCATACTGTAGTTGGTGGTGGAGTTAAGATGTTCGGTTTAAACCTAAAAAGCCGGCTAAATCGACCGGTTCGGTTTAATTAGTTAAAACCGATTAAATTGACCTATTCGGTTTAATCAGTTTTAGTTTGTACGGTTTCAAAAGAAAAATCGACTTGTAGAAAATGTTTGACAATCCTGCATGGTTTCTGTTAAAGTTGAAACTATGGTGACCCTTGAATCGGCACACCAATGTTCCGGTAATCATACGACCAAGAACGCTCGTCGGATTATCGCCTGAATTCGCTAACTTTATATAAGCACCATGGACTGAAAGTCTGAAAAATGATACAGAACAAATGCCTCTCGGGGTGAATTTTTATTTTCTTTTTTGACCAGGAGGCACAATGAATACAATGTTCCATAATATCGAACTCGAAAAGCATGGCCTATTTCCTACGACACGGCCAATGAATTACGATACCCAGAACTCGAAACAACGGAGCTGTACCGGAAATACAATGGTGCGTGTTGCATGTTCTATAATGTACATACAAATGGGGAAAAGCTGGAGAAACTTAATCATGGCTTACTCTTGAATTTCCTTTGAGCTTTCAGGTCCAACACGAGTACCGTGATGTTGTCCTTGCTTCCTTTCTGGAGGGCTCGGTTCGAAAGGTATTCGGCTGCTGCTTGAGCCGCAGGGTCGATGGTTTCGCCCCTTTCTGAAGTCAGGGTTGCACCGTTCTTCTTGTGCCATTGAAGTATTCGTCTACGAGCCAGGTCACATGCTTCTTCGTTTGTCATAACATCCCATAGACCGTCACTGGCCAGAATGAGACATTCGTCTTCTTTCACTCTAGGGACAAACGTTACTTCTGGTTCTGGAATGATCCATGGCTTCAAATATCTATCACCTGTAACACCGAGAACGGTGATTCTCGTTTTTTTAATTATTCGAATCGTTTAATATGCATAAACACAGTGCACTTATGCCCCTAGAACACGTGCAACATTATCACCTTTTTCCCGACCCGACAAAAGGAGCTTATATTACCGAGCAAATAACCTTAATGCATGAAAAGAACGACACAGAGCACATGCATGGATGTTTATAATCTATTGCTCCCTTTAACATTCACCGATCGTCATTCGTTCATTCGAGGGATATAGAATAGCTGCATATTTTGAACAACTTATGCATATAGAAGTAATGAAAAAAGTTCGATTCAAATCAGGCTTAAAAAGTTCAGAAGACATACCAATGGACCTTGACATTGCAAGAACTCCAAAAACCCGATGTCCATTCCATTGAATAACCTTGCCTCCAGCTGCTTCGATCCTTTCATATTCGTCTTCTCGATTTGGCTACGAAATACGAACAGAATAAAAACAGAAGGGTATAAGTTCCCAACAGTTGATGAACAAATACAACAAGATACGAGGGTGAAATTCAAAATCTCTTACTTTATGATCGACGGACAAAGCCATGGGCTCTTTCCCACGACATAGAACTGCCCTCGAATCTCCACAGTTTGCTACAACGATATGAGAAGAACAAATGAGGGAAACAACAGCGGTAGAGCCAACTGTTTCTGGGGCAACAGGTTCATGACCATCTCGTCCTTCCACTTCGGCATCGACTTTAACAAAACAATTAGTGAATGCCTTTTTCCATAGCTCTTGGCAACTATCTGTTACATTTCCATTACTCCAACATTCTTTAGCAAACTCCATTTGCTCGGACAAAGCAGAGTGAAGACGATCTCGACAGTAGTTTGCTACCTGTATAACAGTAAACAACAATAAAGACATTCACTTCTAAACATCCCATACACTATTTTAATGGAAAGAAAACTTAACAGGAAAGGTATTAAAGGAAATCGTATAACAGACCTGTGAACCTCCATGACCGTCATAGACGCCAAAGAAATGAGCAGTCTGATGAGCAAAGCCCTTGCTCATGCCATTGAGTACCCTATCACCAATTAGCATTTCAATTGGAACCTTTACGAACCGAGGCACAGCAGCCACTGCATCTTCCATCTCGGGTCTCCTTCCACATATAGAAGTAAATCCCCAAAGAGGTACATATTCCACCTCAAACACGCTGCGTGGAACCGGAACTGCCATTTTAGTTTCTTCCTTTTGTAGAGTCAACTGAATAACACCTTCAGATAGTTTCTCTTCAGACTCATCTCCAGTCTGTTCCTTGAGGCTTACCGCCACAGCAATGGGATCACTTGCAACATCTGTAACAACACTCGACTCCACAAACTTAGTGGCTTTTGCAATAATGTCCAAACTGCAAATATTTTTCTCGATGCCTACACCAGAAGCGGCATCGAAACACAGAAAATCCTCTCTGCAAAAGCTACTAGTCTCACCTGCCACAGAATATGAACACGAGCTATCAAGGTGGCAAGTGCGATCGCCTTCCAATGACAAAGAATCTTCTTCCTCACTTTCTTGGGCTATATTATCATTACTAGCAATGTAACTATCTTTACAACTAGACACCATTACCACTTCTGATAGTGGCAACTCCATGCTACTTACTTTAGTCTCCATATCATCGCAATAGCAACCGACATCTTCATCGGTTAAAACGCCATTGGGATTTTCCATAAAAGCTTAAGTCTTGTGAATTGAGATGTCCATAGAATTATCAAAGCTTGAGTTTCCACAGAGTAAATTACCTAATCTAGATGGAAACTCCTCCATCAAAATTCCCTTCAACCCCCTTCACATATCACACTACTAATCAGTATTTAGCTAAACTGATGACAATGTCTTAATCAACTCAAAAGTGTCCAAAGAGGATTCAAGTTCAAGTTTAGTGAAAAGAAATGGGTTTTAGTCAGATCTGGTCAACTACAACTGGATCCAAACGTCCATTTGTGGAAATTACTACCCAAAAAAGTCTCTTTTCACCTTTGATTATGCTGGACGCCTGGACTCTTCTTTATTTGCATCCATGAACTAAAGTACATACATCAAGAAACAGAAAAAAAAACATAAACACACCCACACTACCAAGGATAGATCAAATTCAAAGCCAACCTTTTATCCCAAAACGCAAAAAGGAAAAGACTTGGAGAGAAAAAAGGGGTTCATGAGAAAGAACTCAAAGAAAAGTGATGTCCCAAGAATCACAAGAAAACCCTAAAAAGGAGAGTACCCTTCTTCACAAAGAGTTCCCAGGATCTGAGGCAACCCTTCTCAGCCTCTTGTAAATTTGTTTTCAGCTCGAATAATCGGGTAAAAATCATAATCAATAAGTGAAAACAAAAAGGAAGGAAAATGTAGAAACTTTAATAACAAAGGAATGACTACTACCTAGCTTTGCCAACTGTAGTAGAGTTCCTCTTTGCCAATCACTTTATGGTTGTTTTCAAGCAAGAAAGAAGCCTTTTTTAACATCCTTGATGAGACATGAAAAGATAGGGATCAAAGGTGTGGACTTCGCTTTGCTTAAGAAAAGGGCTCAAAATGATCAAACAATGAAGGGTTAAAAAGATTTTTTGTCCTCTTATTTATCAAAATAAGATCTTGATTTGTTCACATTCTTTTATACTTTATCTGCAATTCAATAATAGATAATATATGGATATTTTGAGACCAGAAAAATTTAAGGAAAAAAGAAAATTCATAGGAAAAGACAGACAGGGAGTGTGTCTGATGTGTGTAAAGAAAGGGTAAAAGAGGACAGTCTTGACATATGTCAAATCTTCTCCACCTTTCTCTTTACTTTAATGATGTTGATGATCATATTCGAAAATCGCATAAAATTTAATTATATAAATAATTATTTTATCACTCCATTGAAAGGCATGGATATTTTTATTTTATTTTATTTTATAATATTTTTTACCATCCCATGTCTAATGTTAAAAAGAGTCTCTGTCTAAATTATATAGTGTTTGCTTTCATGTGAAGAATGGAAGACATTTCAACTCTTTCCCTCACATGCAGAATAGATTTTTGAAGAAAAATATCGAAATTTAATTTATTAATTAATTAATTTAAATTAAATATTATAAAATTTAGCATTTAATTTTAATTTTATTTTATCTATCCCATCCAAACTCAAATTTCAACAAAAAAATATACATCTTATAAAATTAAGTCATGTCTAAACTTGTTAAATTTGGGTAATTTAATCATCTCTCACAACAACAACAATAAAATTCTATTCTCATATGTAATGAGGTAAAGGGAGGTAGGGTAGTAGGCTGCCCCAACTCCAGGTTGAGAGCAGCTTCCGTGGAAGACCTTCGACAATTAGAAAATTAAAAATAAAGATAAAATACAATACATGTATAAATAAATAAATACATAGTTGAACAGTCTTCTTATGCAGTCTTCTTATGTGAGAGTGTAATGGGAAGTATTCCTTGCAAATAAATCCATGCGGAAAAAAAAATCTCTGCATATAGACAAAAAACGTAAGACTCGACTAAATTTAAAAAGAGGAAACATGAAGAGAATGATACACAAAAGTCATCGATAGCAAACTACGAGAATGAATAAAAATCAAATTCATTTTAACCTAAATTAAGACAACACTAAATCGTTACCTTAGTTCTAAACCTTCATAGATTCCAAAGACAGAAACGTATAAATAAAAATCATAGAAATTACTAGAAAGACATTAGAAAGAAGACAGAGATGTTACATCATATGGTTGTGACCCACAATACTCGACTATTCTGGTCTTAAGTCTCCATAATTTCCTATCAGAGGTCATGTCATCGGTAAGGGCTAAATCCTTCAAATCAGATTTCAAGCAGTCTACCCACTTCTTCCTCGGTCGTCCTCTCCTTCTGACACCGTCAGCTATAATCGACTCTACCCTTCTGACTACATCCGACGGTTGTCGCCTAAGGACATGCCCAAATCACCGAAGTCTTCCCTCCCTCAATTTATCGGATACAAACACCAACCCCAAGGACATCCTAATTGCAGAGTTTGGTATCATATCCCACAGAGTCCGACCACATGTCCATCGAAGAGAACTGTGCTACCAATTAAAAATTTAGACCAGAAACTGCCACTAGTGAAGGCAAATTTTAACACAAGCCAACCTGGGCAGCCGGTGCATCCACAAACTCTCATCTAAACTTCTAAAACAACCTTTTTGGCTGAAAAAGGAGTTTCCCTTGTCCTGCCACTCGACCCGGAAACTGGTTTTCGAGACCTTTCTTAGATATTAATGTACATTTCGTTAAGTGGTTCCGGTAATCGGATGCCAGCCACTCCACAAGAACCGCAGGTCATGGAAGGTTACTTTATGGCAACATGGGATCACCTGCAGCATGCATCTGCATATCCGTTTCCTCGGCTGACCGCTTAGTAGGATAACCTACCTCTGAATCAATGGCAGGTCGTCCATTACTGTATATAGAATCGACGGATGGCTGCTCTGTTGATGGATTGTTGAAGTCTGCACATAGTTTAGAAATGTGGTGTCAAATTTTCTCTTTTCAAGTGGAGCAGAAAGTACCTTGACAACTATGAGACAAATTGCGTACCAACGAAATGGCGTATCCCTTTGACGGCATCGAAGTTCTTGTATGTATAGCCAACAAAACCTAAATCTTTGGGAGTTGAAAACATCTGCATAAAGGAATAAAGTTCCATGAGTGAACATTCGTAGCGTTTTCTGAGCAGAAAATAGAACACAAACTTCCTATTTTTTATGTTGCCGGAGTTTGACCCTTGGTCGCTAGAACAAAGAGTCTAGTCTCTTTACCAACAGACCGTATGTCTGTTGACGAATATAACACAAGCTCATCGCATACTAAAGAAATGTGCAAACAAAATAAGTTCACAGATAGCATCATTTGTTACAGACCTTCCGTGAGGATCCCGAGCTAGTTCTTGCTGATGGTGGAGGATCCAACTGCTGATAGTTCAACAAATAGTCAGATTATAGAAGTTAAAAGTACTATGAAGAAAGCGATTAGTATTCGGAATAAGAAAATATAAAGGTAATACAAGAAGGGGAGTTTTGAGTTATATATACTTCATCAAACTTTATAAAATTCTGAGTATCTAACTCCCCATTCACTTCAGGTTTAAATGAAGCCTCCATCTCATAGAGCTTATCCCACTCGATGTCTTTGAACCAAGGATGAGCCTGATAAAATTACATGTCAAACACCACAAGGAAGCAGAAATAGTCGGTAAGAAATAAGGTTTCAATGTATCGTAAACTTACTTTAATTTGATTTTCCCCTGCAGTAGCCAACCTGTGCTCAACATCGCAAAGCAATCGACATATAAGGTCCTTTGCGTCGTGACTTATCTTCGAATCTTCAGGAAATCTTAGGTGATTCCTCCAATGCACAATCTGACAGTAATTGGTGACCAAAATATCAGGAAAATGAACAACATCTCCATGATTACTGGAGGGAAATGTTCCTCTAAAACTTATGGAAGGAGAAGGGAGCAAGGAACAACAATAGTGCTAGTAGGACACCAAAGAACTTAATTACACTATACAAGCAAGCATTTGGCACAAATGGAGTAACAATAACATTGGTGCATATCAACGTGATATCGTATACGAAAAAGGTACATTACACATCTGGGACTTTTTCTGCATCGGAGCTAATTAGAAATAACAGTATAAATCACTAAAACGAAAGATTTTGTTTTATAACAGCCCAAACTAGAAAGCAGAAGTTAAAGATCAACTGGAGCAGAGAAAAATAAAGCAGGCAGAAGCATGTACCTTCCTGCATGTTGTAAGAGGATCATCAGAATAGAATGGTGGGTATCCAATTAGCATTTCGTACATTATTGCTCCTAGTGACCACCTAAAACAAGTCAACAGAAAAGGCTGCATTATTCATGTTATGGTAAGATAACTTCACAGAGAAACTGCAGTTAGTTTTCGGAATTAGTTAGCTCTCACTTTTGTTGTAGCAAGAAAATGATATGTTGTGAAGCTAGAAAAGTAGAACAGGTATGCATCATGCATGAAGGTGAAGCAAAAAAAAAAGGAGAATAAGTAGTAGATCTAATTGCAACCACGAGAGAGAGAGATGTCTGCAAATAAATTTAACTAACCAGTCGCATTCCATGCCATATCCTTTCTTCAGTAACACTTCGGGAGCTATGTAGTCAGGTGTTCCCACAGTTGAAAACGCCTTCAAAGTAAAACAAGAAAGATGGCAAAAATTGCTGGAAAACTTTGCAACTGAACCATGTCTTTCATGCCTTCATCTGATTTCATTACTACTTATGCAACTACTCAATTGTAAACATACCGGAAACTTTTCTAATCGAATAACAGTGTGGGTGTTTGTAAATCCTTTGCAAGGGAAAGAAACTTTAAAAATGCTTACAGTAATGATTTGTGACATTAGTTGCAGTTCACAAAGTCCAATATGTAATATTGAGGCATCAATTAAGAGCCAAAACTGAAACTTGGCACTGGAAACTTGAGAAAGGTTAATATAATATCTTAAAGGAACATCTCTAGGAGTTATGTCATTTAATTAATTAATACACTGGAATGTACTTTAAGAATGTTGCGTTAAAACAGTACAACTGTGAAGTAAATTGCATACATACCAACTTTCTTCTGTTCATTTGCCAATGCTGAAGCTGCTCACGAGGGCTTCTCCAATTGCTTTTATTGTCAGCATCGGGAATACATCCATCAACATCCATAGGTTCTGTTATATTTTCATCATCCATCTGCTTATTCTCATGGATTGCTGGTAAATTTGTGCAATCAATAGGCTTACAAAGGCCAAAATCTGATAACTTCACGTGTCCATTTTTATCCAGAAGAAGATTGTCAGGATTTATGTCTCTGAAAAGAAAATGAAAGTAAAGAAATAAGATGGGCGGTAAACCATAACTTGAACAACTATGAACAGAAATTGCCACATCTCCTTGCTTCAAAATGAATTAAGTAGACAACATAGTAGGGCAAGCTTAAATGTTAACCTGTGAATGTAATTATGTTTGTGAATAGACTCGATGGCCAAGATACTTTGAGCAATGTAAAATTTAGCCACATTTTCAGTTAAGGTATCCTTCCTCATCAGCAGAGTCATCATATCGCCACCGGGAAGATATTCCATGATCAAATACAAGTATTCAGCATCCTGAAATGAATAATAAAGTTTTACTATGCAGTGGCTTGCAACTTCTGCCAGCAAGTTCCTCTCCGCTCTAACATGTTCCACCTAAGGAGCCAAAGACACTAAATTAGATTAGCAGCACAACAAATATTTCCAATTTCAATAGAAAATTAAATGCTAGAAGCAAGGAACTAAATAACAGCTTCAAGTGTCCTTAATTACCTGCCCTTTCATAAGCATGTCCGATTTCTTTAACTTCTTCATTGCATAAATATTTCCAGATTTCTTCTCCCGGTACAGTCGAACCTGCAGAAAAAAGTGATCAATTAAAAAAAACCTCCAAACAGAAAATACATAAAAGGCAATATAAATCAGAAGCAGAAAACAACAATTTCAAATAAAAGAAACTATGAAGGCACTTGTATTGTTTGACTTTATAACAAGCATTTGCATTCTAAGTTCTAACCTCTCCATAGGCTCCCCTTCCAATAATAGTCAACGGATCAAAATCATCGACACAAATCTTGTGCCTTTTAAGTCTCATAAACTCTGTCTCTTTTCTCTCTAAATCCTTTATCAGATTGATATGTTCCTCCTCGGGCACACCTGAAGCAGCTAACTTTCTCTCCAAGACCCATCGTCTGCAACGATGAACTTAATTTATGTTATTAACTTGAAATCTGACCTATCAATTCCAAGCACAGAAATGCTGACAACATTTTGGATACATCAAGTTGAAGAAAAACAAAGTCGTTAGTAGGTTTTGATGTTGATATGCTAAAGATAACAATTCAATTACGAAAGCATATATTTTAACCTGCATGCTGCACAAAAAATGCATATCCTAAAACATTAATGAAGCATGAAATACACATACATCTATATTAGTCTCAGATTTTCCAAGATTCTAACTTTAATCGTTATGTTTTCTTCTATCCGAAGCACATGAGTAATACAAATGCCTTCGTTGTCGATGTGGGAGAGTGGTGGGGGTTGTTGAGAGTTGGGGCTTCCACAGAGAAAAGTAACAAGAGATAAAGAAAGCCATGCACTTACTAGTGTGTCAACTTTGCAAAGATAATTAAATCATGCACCAGATCATATATAATTAACCCTATAGTTTGTGAAAAAAATCAATAAAAATACACAAAAAATCTTTCTGTAGATACTTTGAAATCCCAATTTCCTAAAAATCCACCCCTGATTTGGGGAAAGCAGTTTCAATTACTCCAATTAAATGCTTCACTTCCTTGCAAAGAAACATGATTTAACACTTACACTCCCTACTAAGATACATACAAGACAAGAACCAAGCTCATCAGCTCAAAATTTAAATAGATAAATAAAGATTTTTTTTGAAGAAGTTATTGAAGTTAGGTTCAGCACTTCAGTTGACTAGAAATTTCATTGATTTCCACCAAAAAACAATTAACTAATCTATCATTCAAAGCTCCTATCTTTATTTTTTAGACTTTCTGAGCAACCAAACAAAGATCACAGATACTGCAAAAAAATTAAATAACTATCTAGAGGAGGAGCAAAAACGTTACCTTTCTTTGCGTTCTTGAATATTCTTCATATGAGCTCTATAATGATTCTCGATGAACTGTTTCGCCGCCGCCACCTTCTCCAGCGTCAAGCTTGATCCTAACACCTCCTCTCCACTACTCCCTTCTTCATCTATGCCCTCCATTTCCTCCCTATCTCTCTCTATATATATATATATATCCTATTCTAAGAGCTCTCACTTGAAAGGAAAAATTGAATTTTTTTTCATTTACTGTGCAGCCAACAAAGAGAGACGACTGAATAGAAAAACAGAGCTCCCTTTCAGTGATCTTCCTCTTTATCCTCCTCTACTTCCAATATCACGTAACTTCCAATACTTATGCCCAATCAAATTCATCCACGTGGCTGTCTTTTTGATGCTTCATTGAAGGTGTGTTCAGGGTGGTAATACTGAGACTGGGAGCAGCGAGAGTTTGGGTTTTCTAGTATTATATATATATAGGGTTAAATATGATAAAAATCCCTGTACTCTTTGTACATTTAAAATTTAATCATTTTACTTTTTTAAATTTAAAATTTTAAGTCTTCTTATTAATACTATTAAATTTGTTGATGTAACATTTTGAAATTTTTACCTCTCATTTTTTATCAGTTTTTTTAAATCAAATTCATTTTTTTTATTTTTGTGACATGTTTATATTCGAAATTGTTGAACGTTATGTAATAATACATGTACATTAGAACCTAAAGTTTCATTTCAAGAAGGACCAAAACCACAATTTTATACATCACATCAAATAAAATTTATAATAAACCCTTCTGTAGTATGATAAAGTATAAAAATAAAGTATATTAGAAGTTATTAGGTTGTGTTCAAATTAAACTCTCAAAAATGACACAATAACCATTACATGTATTAAATTTTTATAATTTTTATAATATTTATATGATTATTGTATTATAATTGGATAAATTATGCGTTTAATGCTTAAACTATCAACTTTAGTCCGTTTTAGTACCTAAACTTTCAATTTTTTAAAATCATACCTAAAGTTTACTTTTTGTTTCATTTTAATACTCCACCGTTAAAAACTTTAGTTTTTATTTCATTTTAATACCCTGTTCAATTAACGTTAAGTTTTGAAAAGATTGAAATTTAGGTACTAAAACGGGCAAAAACTGATAGTTTAGGTACTAAATGAGTTAAGTTTTAACAATTGAGTACTAAAATGAAAACTAAAAATTAGGTATGATTTTAAATAAATAAAAATTTAGATACTAAAACGAAACAAAACGATAATCTGAACGTTTTTGACATTAACCTAATACTTACCTTTATAATAAACATTAATCTAATACTAATAGCATGCATGGTGTAAAAGATTATGAGCAATGGCATCTCTAGCTTCCATGGAACTCACCGATCTCATATCATTTTCACCCGCCATTTCTTCTTCTTATTCTTCTTCATCTTCTTCATCTTCTTCATCATCCTCATCAACTAGCTCAAATCCCCATTGATCAGGCTCAAACCCATCACCTCTCATTTCACAAATATTATGCAGAACACAACAAGCTCCAACAACAACACTCAAATCCTGCAACTCGAAATCGCTATTATTTTCCTGCAAACAACGCCATCTCCCTTTCAATTTCATGAACGCTTCTTTAGCAACTCTCTGGATCTCACCGATCAGGGATTTAAATAGCATTCGGGACTGCGTTTTCGGTCGCGTCGCGTTTATCGCGGTTGCGGACATAACGGATGTCATCGTGGTCATTGTGGGTGTCGCGGTCGTAAATTTTTTTAAAATTCGCACAACTTATCCTAAAATATAATAATTATAATTATAATTTTAAAGAGTCGTCATTATTTAAAGAAATAAGACTAATAGCATAGAAAAAAACTCTAAAAAATGGTTGTTGAGTCTTTTATGCTATTCATTCAAAGTAGATTTTAAATGAAATCAACTTAATATTTTTTTAATTTTGGATAAAGCATACTAAAGAGTCTCTAAATTAGCACGAACCAACTTACCTACCTGATTAAAGGAATTTAGAGGTCATAGGTTCAAGCACCAACGGTATCACGAACCAACTTACCCCAATGGTTAAAGGAATCATTGTTGTTCCTAGAAGTCACGGGTTTAAACACCAACGATTGTGGCAGGATGATTGAGTATTTATTGTCAAATATTTGAGAGTATTTAAAATATATACTACTTTATAATCACATTAACTTTATTAAAAGATTCTCTAAATTATTCTCCGATAATTTTTTATCATTAACTTCTTAAAACTATAAAATAATTTTTTAATCTATCAAACTCTGAAAAAATAATCACTATTATACTAATATTACAAAATAATTATTAATTTTTAAAAGTTTATAAAATGATAATTAAATTTATCACATTTTATAATCATGGAAACACAACAAACACTTTATAATAATTTGATAATTTAATGAACGTTTTGTATCTTTTGAAAGTTTTATGACCAAAAAGATCATCTGCATATAGTTTAGGGACCCCTGGTGTATTTTACCCTTAAATTTGTCATAATGTTTCATAGCCTAATTAAAATAAATAAACACAAATGCATGAAAGTTTATACAACATATTATTACAATCTATGAGACACTGAAATGAGCAAAATTGTATCGACATATTAGCACAAATTGGGGTCTAGATCAGTGTTTTGAAAATCAGACCGAAACGGTCGGTTCAACCGGGAACCGCTACCTAATCCGATTCAATCTACACTGGTTGAATCGCTATTAGTGAATCGGCCAGAACCGTTGAACCGTTCGAATAGGACCGGCTGAAAACCGAAAAAACAACCAATTTTGTTTTTTTTTTAAATTAAATCAAACGACGTCGTTTGTTAAACGAGCCAAGTCGAACTCGAGTATTACTGAGCTCGACTAGAACTTGAAAACTTTAAAAGTAAGCTCAACTCAACTTAAATTCACGAGCTAAAAACTATCAAGTTCAACTCGAACTCGAAATATAATATTGAAACTTGAACTCTAAAAGGCTTGAACTCAAAAAAAAATTAGAAGCTCGATTGAAGTCTAAAATTCGAACTTGATTGAAGTGAAAGAATAGTTCACTCAATACTCACCAAAAGGCTCCATGATTTTGAATGTCAAATTACCTCTATTATTTATATAAGTTAGTTGGGATGCTCTTATATGTTTCTTAGTCATATGAGATTGTTTTGTTCTTATATTTTCACTCTTTAGACTTTTGGGATGCTCTTCTATGTTTCTTAACCATGTAAGATTGTTTTTTAAAAAAAAATCAAACCAAACAATATCATTTTGTTATGATTTTTCTAGCCTCAAATTTAATTTTTAATTATATTTATATAATTATATTTATTATTTAATATGTTTTACCTTAAATATTATGTTGTAGTTAATTTAAATAATTTTGTTTCACTTGATTTTATGGTTTTTAACTTATATATGTTATGATTTGCTTTGAATATGACTTGTAATATAAAAAATTATTTTTTATTAAATATTTTTGGTATTTTTATTTAATTTTCTAAATAATTATGACGTCGTCCGGTTCTTTCGACCGATCGAATCGATTCGACCGGTTAAATAGTGAACCGATAACATGACCGATTCGCTAACCGGTCCGATTCTGAAAACCATGGTCTAGATCAATACCAAATTCCTCCGAAGAAAATCAGAGGCGGGCAGAGTCTGATTTTGGGGACTTTGGCTGCATAGTGGTATAAATCCATATCCCCGCAGCAGCCGAGCCGTCGAAGCGAAAAAACGATGGCGGTCATGTGAACCAACAAATCATTTTTATCAGCCATGGGACGGATGAGGTAAGAGATTTGCCAGCCCATTCGCGTTCCCTTCGCTTCTGCTTGGCTTGCATCCGGTTGAATTTTTCCTTCCCCTTCTCCAAAAGAGGGTCGACCACCACGTAGTCATTTGGATCATCCTTGCGAGACATACCATCCTGCATCATGATTCAAACACAACTCTTGATCAACACCATAAAGCCTAAGACAAAAAAAGGAGGGGATTTTGCAAAGTTTCTACAGAGTTTCTCTTCTTTTCGCTTTTGGCATGACTAATTTGGTGCTGCCCAGAATATACGAGTACAAGAAATCAAATGGCTTACATGCAAATGAAAGAAAACCAACCTTGGTGTCAGGAGCAAACTGCAACCGAACTGCTTTCCAGTCGGACAAATCCTCATTATCATCACCTCCAGGCTCACCGCTAGAAGCAATGGGTTTTGTAAGAACAGATTGCTTAAACTTCTCAAGTTTTGCTAAAACCTAGGTTACAAACAACAGCGGTAGAGTTGGTTCCAACATGTGTGGAGAATATGATTTCAAATTTTAAAAGGAAGAAACAAATTTCAGCCTAGATCTATCACCATTCTTTACCTCTAATATCAATAAATGGGTTTCATAAGCACATAGAAGGTGCATAATGACTTTTTCCATGCTAAAAATCAAGTTGAATGGGAGATTCTAATATGTGAGAGTTTGCATTGCAAAGACCGAAAGAAGAAAATTAAGGCAGTAAGGGAAAAAAACAACATTGAACCAGAAATATCATAACATACTTCATCTTCGAGTCCTTGAATTCTACGCTTCTTCTGTTTTTGCAATAATCTTCCTCGTTCAGCCTCGCTGAACAACTGTAAATCTCCATCAGCTTTAGCCATGCGTTCAGCTCTGGCTTCTGATCCCACACCCTTTTTCTTCAAGGACAGCTTTTCAACCCTTGGTTGGTCATCATCACTACTTTCATCATTGGGTCTGGTGTAGATTTACAGTATCAAAAAAGCCGTATATAAGCAAAAAGGAAAAGGAAACAATAGACTGTCTTGAATAATCAGGGGACGGGTCAGAAAGAGGTGGTGATAATGTTTGAAAGAAACAAAAACAAAACTAGGATAGAAATATTGATCAAGTCAAGTCATTGCCATAGTAAAATCAACACAACAAAGTAAAAACCACTCAAACAACAAAGGAAGCATAGCTATTCAGTTGACGAACTTCAGTAATTTTGAAACTTTCTGACAGGCACATAAATGCTAAATATATGTATGGTAGTTACTACACATGTGGATTCTACAAGAAACCTTTTGAGAGATTGATTAAGGTTCTATTTGGTTTTTGCTTTTGCTTTCAATAGAAAATGAAAAGAAAAAAAAACAAAACAAAAACCTCAGATGTTTACCTTCGGGCAGAGATTTATTGTCATTTGCTTTAGAGCTCCCTGCACATATGTTCCAAAAGTCAAGACCAATTGTAAGGAAATCACCAACTAATAAATAAACCAGAGAGAATGAAGGATGTGTACTAGAAAAAAAAATACCTTCTCTGATAACAGGCCAATTTCCATATATTTAATATTGAC